GGGTTTGGATTCTCCCCCTTTATCCCAGATTTTTTTATGGAATTCCCATGGAATTCCCAGGGTTTGGATTCTCCCTGTTCATCCCGATTTTTTACGGAATTCCCAGGAATTCCCAGGGTTTGGATTCTCCCTGTTCATCCCGATTTTTTACGGAATTCCCAGGAATTCCCAGGGTTTGGACTCTCCCCCTTCATCCCATTTATTTTTAATGGAATTCCCATGGAATTCCCAGCCTTTGGCTAATTAATAAAACCATAAGGTTACTTTATTAATTATCCTGCAATTAAATGATCGATTAATAAAGTTTTAATTAATATAAACACGTTTGGGAGGTTATTGTGTACGCACACGTAACATTCTCATCTATTAATTATACATATTATTATTATTATTATTATTATTTTATTAATAATTTTATTATTATACATTAATGATGTATTTATCTATTTATTTCTCATAATACTTCATTATTTTGCTATTCATTAATACTATTAATATTCCTATTTATTATTGTGCTATGTATAATCACATATTAATTGTTATATTTAATACATTTTAATTGTTACACGTCATTAGCTCCATTCTTAATTATTAATAATCAAGCATTATTATTAATAATAATTAATAACTGCTCAGGACTGACTGGTAGGACTGCAGGACCTCAGGAAATCTCAGATCTATTAATTAGTAATTAATAATTAGTGATTAATTGCTGAGGACTGACCGGTAGGACTGCAGGATGTGGGGAAATCTCAGATTCGTTAATCAGTAATTAATAATCAGTGATTAATTGCTGAGGACTGACCGGTAGGACTGCAGGATGTGGGGAAATCTCAGATCTATTAATTAGTAATTAATAATCAGTGATTAATTGCTGAGGACTGACCGGTAGGACTGCAGGATGTCGATGATGCCGATGTAGAGCAGCAGCCGCTCGCCGCGGGAATTCCGGGCGGGAATTCCGCCCATCCTGGGAAAACAGGGATCGGGAATGGGGCAGGGAATGGGGAGGGGTCCTGATCCCGGAACTGCCAATCCCAGTCTGTCCCAGTCATTCCCAGTCCATCCCAGTCCGTCCCAGTCTGTCCCAGTCCGTCCCAGTCCGTCCCAGTCCCAATCCCAGTCCGTCCCAGTCACTCCCAGTCCCAATCCCAGTCACTCCCAGTCACTCCCAGTCACTCCTAATCCCAATCCCAGTGACTCCCAGTGACTCCCAGTGACTCCCAGTCCATCCCAGTGACTCCCAGTCCATCCCAGTCCATCCCAGTCCCTCACTGGTCGTCGGTGTCGAAGGTTCCTCCCCGTGGAGCCTCTCCCTGGATGGATTCCATGGCAGTGGAGTATCCAACCCCAATCCCAGTCACTCCCAGTCACTCCTAATCCCAATCCCAGTGACTCCCAGTCCATCCCAGTCCATCCCAGTCCATCCCAGTCACTCCCAGTCCATCCCAGTCCATCCCAGTCCCTCACTGGTCGTCGGTGTCGAAGGTTCCTCCCCGGGGAGCCTCTCCCTGGATGGATTCCATGGCAGTGGAGTATCCAACCCCAATCCCAGTCACTCCCAGTCACTCCTAATCCCAATCCCAGTGACTCCCAGTCCATCCCAGTCCATCCCAGTCCATCCCAGTCCCTCACTGGTCGTCGGTGTCGAAGGTTCCTCCCCGTGGAGCCTCTCCCTGGATGGATTCCATGGCAGTGGAGTAGAGCGCTCTCTGCGCCGCCGGCCGCCCTGGCCCGTCCCCGCAGCCGGCGCCGGCCGCGCGCTCGCGCTGCGCCTGGTCCAGGTTGTGGATGGCCACCAGCAGGCTGTAATCCATGATCTTGAAACTCTGGAGAACCTGGAAAAGCGGGAGAAGCTCGGGAATCCCGGAATTCCCAGCGGGAGGTGGGTGGGCCCCATTGGAAACGCTCGAAAAACGGGGTTTTTTGGGTGCAAAAGGTTCAAGAAATGGGGTTTTTGGGTGAAAAAGGTGGTGGAATTTCACTGGGTTTGATAATTTTAGAGGTGCTGAGAGCCAAATCGTTAATGTTTTTCTGTGGAAAAATAAAAAAAAAATCACAAAAAACTATATAGTTTATATATATATATATATATATATAAAACAAAAAAACAGGAAAAAAGGCAAAACACCCGCAATTTTCCCCCCAAAAAACAGGAAAAAGGGCAAAACTCCCACAACTTTCTCACAAAAAAAAACAAAAAAAGGGCAAAACGCCCACAATTTCCTCCAAAAAACATGGAAAAAAGGCAAAGCACCCACAATTTTCCCTCAAAAAATTCCAAAAACATTGAAAAAAAGCACATTACCCCACAATTTTCCACAAAAAAAACAAGAAAAAAAGGCAAAACAACCACAATTTTCCCTCAAAAAATTCCAAAAACATTGAAAAAAAGCACATTACCCCACAATTTTCCACAAAAAAAACAAGAAAAAAAGGCAAAACAACCACAATTTTCCCTCAAAGAACCAGGAAAAAATGCAAAACAACCACAACTTTCCCACAAAATAACCCAAAAATATGGAAAAAAGCACAAAACACCCACCATTTTCTCACAAAAGAACAGGTAAAAGGGCAAAACAGCCACAATTTTCCCTCAAAGAACCAGGAAAATTGGCAGAACACCCGCAATTTTCCCACAAAAAAACAGAAAAAAAGGTAAAACAACCACAATTTTCCCTCAAAAAAAACAGGAAAAAGGGCAGATCACCCACTTTCCCTCAAAAAAACAGGAAAAAAAATGCAAAACACCCACAACTTTCCCACAAAAAACCAGGAAAACTGGCAAAACACCCACCATTTTCCCCCCAAAAAAACCAGGAAAATCGGCAAAACGCCCACAATTTTCCCGCCAAAAACCCAAAAATACCCTCACAAAAAAAAAAACAAAAAACCCCCACCCCCAAAAATAAAAACCCCCAGGAAAGAAACCTCACCAAGCAATCCCTCTGCAGCGTCTTACACAGGGCGTTGTACATATCCGAGTCCAGGAAAAGCCCGTCGGGAATGTCCTGCATGAAATCCAAGTCCTTGAAAGTCGGGAAAACCTTTTCCCGCTCTTTTTGTGAGGCCCGGCGTTTGTAGGTGGAGCCTTTGAGGTCGTACTTGAGGTGCATCCGCACCGAGCGGGGCAGGAGGTTGTTCATCACCACGATTCGGATGTTCTTCCCCCCGGCCTGCACGCAGTACAGACCGTAAAATTTGGGTAGGAGGGTCCGGGGGTTTTGGTTCAGGTTCTGGAATGGCAAAAATGAGGGAAGAAAGGTGAAAATTCCCACAAAATCCCTCGGGGGTGTGGGCGGTTTCTGAGGGGTTTGGGGGCGGGAGTGAGTCAAAACCCCACATAAAACGTGGAAACGGCATCCAAATCCCTCTGGGCTGGAGTTTTCCATGGATTGTTCGGGTTTTCCATGGATTTTTAGGGTTTTCCATGAATTCTACAGGTTTTCTAGGGATTTTGAGGGATTTTCCATGGAGTTTTGGAGTTGTGAGGGGGGGAATGCGTCACAACCCCACATAAAACACGGGAACAGCACCCAAATCCCTCTGGGTTGGAGTTTTCCATGGATTGTTGGGGTTTTCCATGGATTTTTAGGGTTTTCCACGAATTTTGGAGCTTTTCTAAGGATTTTGAGGCATTTTGAGGGATTTTTCCATGGAGTTTCGGTGGTGTGAGGTCGGAACGCGTCAGAACCCCACATAAAACACGGGAACAGCACCCAAATCCCTCTGGGTTGGAGTTCTCCATGGATTTCTGTGTTTTTCCACGGGTTTTTAGGGCTTTTCTGTGGAATTGTGGGGGTTTTTCCACAGATTCTGAAGGTTTTCTAGGGATTTTGAGGGATTTTCCATGGAGTTTCGGTGGTGTGAGGTGGGAACGCGTCAGAACCCCACATAAAACATGGGAACAGCACCCAAATCCCTCTAGGCTGGGGTTTTCCATGGATTTCTGGGGTTTTCTATGGATTTGGGGGAGTTTCCCATGGAGTTTTGGGGTTTTCCAAGACTTTTGTGGCTTTCCTATGGTTCTCCACGGATTTTTGTGGCTTTCCTATGGATTTGGGGTGGTTTCCCATGGATTTTTGGGGTTTGCCATGGATTTTTGTGCCTTTCCTATGGATTTGGGGTGGTTTTCCACGGATTTTTGTGGCTTTCCTATGGATTTGGGGTGGTTTCCCATGGATTTTTGGGGTTTGCCATGGATTTTTGTGCCTTTCCTATGGATTTGGGGTGGTTTTCCACGGATTTTTGTGGCTTTCCTATGGATTTGGGGTGGTTTCCCATGGATTTTTGGGGTTTGCCATGGATTTTTGTGCCTTTCCTATGGATTTGGGGTGGTTTTCCACGGATTTTTGTGGCTTTCCTATGGATTTGGGGTGGTTTCCCATGGATTTTTGGGGTTTGCCATGGATTTTTGTGCCTTTCCTATGGATTTGGGGTGGTTTTCCACGGATTTTTGTGGCTTTCCTATGGATTTGGGGTGGTTTCCCATGGATTTTTGGGGTTTGCCATGGATTTTTGTGCCTTTCCTATGGATTTGGGGTGGTTTTCCACGGATTTTTGTGGCTTTCCTATGGATTTGGGGTGGTTTCCCATGGATTTTTGGGGTTTGCCATGGATTTTTGTGCCTTTCCTATGGATTTGGGGTGGTTTTCCACGGATTTTTGTGGCTTTCCTATGGATTTTTGGGGTTTTCCACGGATGTCTGGGGTTTTCCACAGATGTCTGGGATTTTCCACAGATTTCTGGGGTTTTCCACGGATTTTTTGGCGTTCCCTTTGGATTTGGGGGTTGAAAACAGGTGAAACCCAGCAAGGAGGACGCAATCCCCGCCGCTCCACACAGACCCGACCGCGATTTCGGCCGATTCAGCCGGGATTTTTTTTAGTTTGGTCGCTCCGGGCGCTTTTCCCGGGCCGGGAATTCCCGGAATTCCGGGCTCACCATGTAATATCCGGGCAGGAGCTTCTGCAGGAACTCGGCCTCCTTGTGCTGCACGGTTTTGATGATGAACTCGTCGTCGCTGGAGACGTAGAAGAGCGAGCCGCTGGCGCCCGAGTTGGAGAGCTCGATCAGGGGGTCGTTGCACAGGGAATACTGGGCGGGAAAAGCGGGAAAAGCAGCTGGAATTTGGTCGGGAATGGGGTTTTTTTTTGGGGTTTTTTTTTAGGAATGGGAAGGGGTGAGGAAGGGCGGTGGTGTGAGGGGGATGGTGGGATGTGGGAAAAGGGGTGGCGAGGGAGGAAAATGGGGGGAAAGGGGAAGATGGGGAAGATGAGGGGGAAGAGGAAAAGAATGGAAAAAGGGAAGAGGAGGGGAAAAGGGAAGGGAAAGGGAGAAAAGGGAGAAGAGAAAAAAAAGGGAGAAGGGGAAAAAAGGAGAAGGGAAAAGAGGGAGAAGGGAAGGGAAAGGAAGGGAAAGGGAAAAGGAGAGAGGGAGAAGGAGGGAAAAGGAGAGAGGGAAAAGGAGAGAGGGAGAAAAGGAGAGAGGGAAAAGGAGGGAGGGAAAAAAGGAGGGAGGGAGAAAAGGAGGGAGGGAGAAAAGGAGGCAAGGAAAAGGAGGGAAGGAAAAGAGCAGAAAGGGAAAATGAAAAATAAAAGGGAAAAGGGTAAAAGGAAAAGGGAAGAGAAAAGGGGAAGGGACTGGGAAAAGAGCAGAAGGAAAGGGAAAAGGAAAAAGGGAAAGGGAAAAAGGGAAAAGGGAAAGGGAAAGGGAAAAGGGAAAGGGAAAAGGGAAAGGGAAAAGGGAAAAGGAAAAGGGAAAAGGAAAAGGGAAAAGGAAAAGGGAAAAGGAAAAGGGAAAAGGAAAAGGGAAAAGGAAAAGGGAAAAGGAAAAGGGAAAAGGAAAAGGGAAAAGGAAAAGGGAAAAGGAAAAGGGAAAAGGGAAAGGAGCTCACCAGGTAATCGTCCGGGCGGATCCCGAAGAGCTCCCGGAAGTAGCGGAAGGCCACGGGCGCGTAGGTCTTGAAGCGGAAATCGTTGTAGTGGTGGGCGGGGGTCAGGTTGCTGCCCTCGCTGCGGGACACGGAATTCCCACTGGGATCAGCATTCCAGAGGGAACGGGAGAGCGGGGAATGGGGGAAATGAGGGGGAAAAAGGGGGAAATGAAAGGGGAAAGAAGAGGAGGGAGAGAGAAAAATGGGGAAAAATGGGGGAAAATGGGGGAAAATGGGGGAAAATGGGGGAAAATGGGGGAAAATGGGGGAAAGAGGG